ATTTCGCAGCATATCACTATTCAAAATCAATTCTTCCCCGAAAAATCCCTCCCAAACAAGCTCTTAGTAGTGAAATCTCGAGCTTGGGGCAAAATATATCGCGTTCCTTCATTATTTGTAATATTACTGTGCTTGGTAGGTGGGTAGGGTTCGATCTATTGTGAGGAACCAAATACTTATTCCTATATAGCATTATCCAGACAAGTTGGTCACTCAATAGTGGGAGCCAACTTTGATTTTTCTACTCACTAGAGCCAACCACCTCTCAAAAAGATGTGCTTCTGTTTGGCAAATTCGACTAACATCGACAGATTTTGTCGTTTTAGCGTTTTTCTGTTTTGAGTTAGTTTAAAAATATTTTCTTTATTTTAGTATTTTTTTTAGTTTTATTTGAATTTATTTACAGAATTGGGATTTAGTTTTGATTATGATTTGTTTAGAGTCTTTAAAATAAGATTCGTTTTGCACATTCATTTTCTTGACTAATAATATTTCAATTTTTTTTTCGTTAATTGATGGATCAAATATTTATCATGTTCGTACTATCGAAATAAAAACATATTATTTTCATTCACGTTTTCATCCTGCTTCAAGGTTAAATCGATTTATGAATTGTATTTAAATGGGTTATGAGTTTATTTGAGCTTCATTTTTTATTTTTATTTTTAAATAAATTTTGTAATAATAATTTTTTGAAGAATACGTGATTAAAAAGTTAAAAAAATAAATTGATTTATGTTTTATGATTGAAAATGAATTTGGAAAGAAATAATTTTTAAAGAATGGAGTAAGGGGCTATGTCACTTTTGGTTTGAAAAGGGGGGAATTAAGTGGATAACAATGGCCACTAACTATGGCAACCACATAAGTTCGCACGTGCAACTCAGTGAATGTAATATTCCATTTGTTCAGCTGCGTTCACACTTCACACAGTGTTCAAGATTCCACGCCAAAGCCGTTTCACACTTGGCTTGCCAGCTCATATCGGCTTCACTATCTTTTAAAATTTCAATTATAACTCTCCTCAATTAATCTCGTGTAGCCCGCATGTTGCTTTCATCAAGGTTTCATTTTTCTGCTAAGTCCTTGTTTGGTGAAAATTAAAATTAATTTTTTTTTGTAAATTTTGATAAAAATTGATCGAACGTATAATTAAAAAGTGGGTCTTATAAATATGTGATTAAAATTAATTGTTGATTTTACTTAAATTTCTATCGAATGTGGACTAAAATTTAGAATCTATTTGACAACCATTGATTTATTTTATAGTGAGTTACGAGATCATTTTTCAACCACACATTCACACAATAAACTATTCTACAAACATTCAATTTTTTTTTTTACCTTTTAAACACACATTTTCTTAAAAATCACTATTCAAACTTTTTTTCGACAATATTTTTTTGTCAAACAGACTCTTAGAAAGAATATATTAATTTGCATAATACTATCTAACACCAGTTATGTTGACTATATATCAACATGTCATATAACTTAATAAGTAATAAACGAGTCATAAATTCTTATATTTAATTGAATTAATAATTTAATGACACAAGTGTTGTCATCTAAATCGATATTTAAATATCGATGATCTTGAATAACATTACTCTGTTAATTTAGTTGAGAGACGAAAACACAATTTATATACACTTATGTGACAGAATTTTTAAGTTTAAAATTCTGAATACATCACTAGCACGCCTCAAATGATACATTATACTCCCTTTTGAACCCCGTGATCTAAAAATTCATTATCACACATTTTATCAATAAAATAATTTTGCGTGAACTCTCAAAAAATTTTCACAAATTTTAATCACACATTGTTAAAAAAAATTACTATTATAAATAAAGAAAAAAGGGTTCAAACAGAGCCCATATAAAGCCGACTCAAATTCGAGTGAAGCAAGCGGCGGCGACACCATCTTTGGCCCAAAATAGGTGAGTGGGGCCACCGTTTGAGGCGAGGTCAAACTCTCCACCATCCGCTGTGTAAGTAGGACACCCCTATCTTTACCCTCTTCTTCATCACACCCATCCCATCCTATATATTACACCAAGCT